TATCCATACGGTTTGGTTAAATGTCTGACTCAAGCCCAAACATAGGCTTTTTTGGTGCCATTAAACCCTGCGTCTATTTTTAAGGAAATTGTAAACTCTCAAAGTGAACAATTAGTTGTCTAACAATAAGAAAATGATTAAGGACTATAATTCTGCAGATGGAGTGGAGGTGCAGAAAGTTGCGAGCATTTTGGAGGTCCATATTCCTCCCCGAACTTAAGTCTGTGAGTCTGCAGTTTTTTTGTAACTACCAAACATAGTGAATACTCAGATGCTTGCTGTGAAGACCATTGTATTCCCACAGTTACAAATACCGACGTATAAATGAGTGAATAGAAGCCTAAGGGAATTCTTCGATCCCAGAATGATTATGCGAAATTTGGAACTTGTCGGGGAATCAAACCCCAAGGCGCTTACTTTGAAGCACGTTTTCAACTGGCAAACCCGGCCAACTGGCTTCGGTTGCATAGTGGAAAGCGACAACTTCCGAAAATCTCTAATAGATAGTACTGATTTTAAGCAATGATGGTTTGCCGTCTTATCGTGGCGCGGAGGTGACTGGGTGTCGAACTGCGAAGTACAGCGGAGGTTTATCCTCCAGCAAGGTTGCCCAAGCTAAGAAAGAGTAGACCATGCCAGAAGCACCACCGTCTGGCTGATTCAGTCGTTAGGTAATTACCTGATTCATATAAGGTCATCGATTGCCTGCAGTGAAAACTTGGCAGGGCCCCGAAAGGCTCTGCTAATGTATAGGGAGAAGTCCTTTATTACCTGTACAGCATGTAAGAAAAAAAGAAGCTCTGCACACTGTATCACATTCACGGCGTCGGATGTCATCAAGATCAGTGTCAGGTTACACAGGACGCCATGGATTTCGGACCAAAAGACACGTCAAAGACTCGCCATGGAGATTGTCTCATGCTCTGCACCTACAACGCCGCTCTTCACGCCCTTCGCTGCAGGAAACGCCTTGCAGGAAACAAAGTCCAGGAAGACGGACGTGAGGCAGCTTAGTGACGGCACACTCATCACTAAGCTGCCTCACATTCGTGGTGAAAAGGTTCCATCACGGAATGTTGGAGGCCTTGAATTTGTCGTACACCCATATGTTGTCCATCTTGTCAATTCGCATGAGATCCTATCACCTCGCCTGGCTATCCTTCGACTCCGTCCTCTGCATCAGAAAGCTATCACTGCCATCAACTGCTATTCTCCAACATCAGCAGCTGATAATTCGGAACTTGATGTTTTTTATTAGGATTTGGAGGAAGTCATTCGCAAAGAAAACTTCTTTTTTATGCTTGTCGTGGGTGACTTCAATGCGAAAATGACGATGCCAGAAGAAGGGGAGCACAGGATCGGGAGACTTTGATCAGGAGTCCGGAATGAGAATGGTAACCGTCTTGTTGGGCTCTTATCTGCGCACGACTTTTTTTATGACAGCTCCACT